TGGTGGGGTGGTTGGGTGGTGGGTGGGGGTGAGGGGGTGGTGGGGGTGGGTGAGAGTGAGGGGCGAGAGGGGTGTGGTGGTGGGGGTTACTGGGTAGTGGGTAGTGGGGGGTGACTGGTGGGGAGGGGGGGAGTGACTGGTAGATGGGGGTGGTGGTGAGGGTGACTGGTGAGTGGTGGGGGGGGGAGAGGGGGTGGGGGTGGGGTGATTGGTAGGGGATGCGTTAGTGGGTGTGGTGCTGGGGGGGGGGGGAGTTACTGTGGGTGTGGTGGTAACTGGTGGGTGGTGGTGGTGGGGGGGGGGGGAGTGGTAACTTGTGGTCTGGTTGATGAGTGTGATGATAACTGGTGGGTGGTGAGTGTGTTGGTGAGGGTGGTGGTGGAGATTAGGGTGTGGGTGATGATGATGATGATGATTCTGTGCGTGTTGATGGTCAAGATGATGGTGGTTGTGGTAGTGGTGGTGAAACTGCTGATGGTGATCATAATGGCAATGATAAGAGTTATAATAATGATTATCATAATAATAAAGATAATGATGATTATCATAATAATAAAAATAATGATGATTGTCATGATAATAAAAATAAGACAAATGACAATAATATCCTCATCGTCATGACCAGTATCATTATCGTTACTGTTCCTATTATCATCATCGTCATCATAATTACTATAATAATGGAAATAAAGACGATAATATTGATAATATGATGACTCGAGATTTACAGATATTTTGAAAAACTGTGTTCATATATATAATAATTATTAATATTATTATTAGTAGTAGTAGGGGTGGCAGTGGTGGTGTTAGTCGCAGTATTAAGAAAGGTAACAATAAGGATAATAATGGATAATAACTATGATAAAGTCAAAAATGATAATTTTCACGAATAAAAAAGCATAATTCTCTTTATTTCATACCGTATGGAAGAAAAAGGAAACATTTCCCTTACACACACGCACAAACACACACACACACGCACACACCCCACACCCACACAAACACACACACAAACACCCACACACACACACACACACTCACTTACAAACAAACACACACAAACACACCCACACCCACACACACACACACACACACACACACCCACACACAAACAAACACACACAAACAAAACAAGCACAAACAAACCCACACAACCTCATAACCTCAAAAAAAAAAAAAAAAAAAAACGAAAAACGAAAAATTTAACCTATCCCTCACCACATGGAATTGGACATGTCGAGCCAGACCCATGAGATAGAAGGGATCCACGGGTTGGATGTCGAACATGTGGACTTCGCAAGGCAGGCGAGACACACCGTCGTCAAAGGTCGTGTCGTCGTTGACCCCGAAGGAGTAGACGAGGCAGGAACCGGGATCTCGGCTTCCCCCCGGAAACTCCAAGGGAGGGTCGAGGCAGACTATCTGGAGGAGAAAGAAAGGGGAGAGGGGGTTATGGGGATTTAAGGGGGGAGGAGGGAGAGGGAGAGGGTTAAGGAGGGAGAGAGGGAAGGGTTAAAGGGGGGAAGGGAGGGAGAGGGGGGGGAGGGGAGGGAGGGGGTTAATGGGAGAGTTATGGGGGATTTAAGGGGGGGGAGGGAGAGGGGATAAGGGGGAGGTAAGGGGGAGGGGAGGGGGGGAGGGGGGAGGGAGGGAGGGGGTTTAAAGGGGGGGGAGGGAGGGAGGGGTTAAGGGGGAGGGGAGGGAGGGGTTAAGGGGGAAGGGAGGGAAGGGGGTTAAGGGGAGGGGGGAGGGTTAATGGGGGAGCAGGGAGGGGTTAGGGGAGGGGAGGGGGGTTAAGGGGGTTAAGGGGGGAGGCGGAGGAGGGTTAAGGGGGAAGGGAGGGAGGGAGGGGGTTAGGGAGGAAGGAGAAGGGGGAGGGGAAGGAGGGGGTTAAGGGGGGAGGGAGGGGTTAGGGGAGGGAGGGGTTAAGCGACGAAAAAAAAGGAAGAATTAAGGAGAGGTTAGAAGGGGGAGTAAAACCGGGCAGTGACGAGGATTAAGGGGTAGAGGGTAGTAGAGAAAGGGAAGGGGGTAGAGAGGAGGAGTTAAGGGGGTAGGGGAGGAGTAGAGAAAGGAGGGTTAGGAGGGGAGAGTAAGGGCAGTTAAAGTGATTGTAGAGGAGGCGGTTAGAGAGGGGGAGTTAAGGGAGAGGGGGGTATAGGAGGAGGAGAGGAAAGGGAGGGTAGAGAGAAGAGTAGGGGGATGCAGAGACGTTAGGGGGGAGTAGGAAAGAAGCAGATTGGGTGTAGGGCAGGGCGAGCAAAAGATCAGGAGTGGATGGTGTAGGAGGGAGCAAACAGATCAGGAGTGGAGTCACAAGGATCGCGCTTGTAGTTTGCACCGATAATAAAGAGCTGGAGCACGTAAAACTACCTGATGACTCCCATACTAGCTGACCAAATAATAATGATGGTGTAGGACGGGGAGCAAAACAGTCAGGAGTGGAGGGTGTAGGAGGGAGCAAACAGATCGAGTGGATGGTGTTAGGAGGGAGCAAAAACAGATCAGACTTGGCATGGGTGTTGTAGGGAGGAGCAAAACAGACAGGAGTGGATGGGTGATAGGGAGGAGCAACAGATCCAGCAGTGGAGGTAGGAGGAAGCAAACAGATCAGGAGGTGTATGGGGAGAAGAGGTAGAGGAGGAGAAGAGGGGAGTTGAAGGGGGTGGGAGAGAAAGGGGAGTGAAGGGGGTTGGGGGAGAGAAGGGGGGTAGGGGTATGGGAATACAGGTGTAATGTAAAGGAGGGAGTAGAGGTTGGTAGGGGACGTAAGGGGAAGCAGGGGGTAGGGAGGGAGAGGAGAAATGGGTGAGAGGAAGACGGAGGGAAGGAGGGGGCGATATGAGGGTGAGGGATATGGGAGGAGGGAGGGGAAGAAGATAAAAGAGGGCGAAACAAGAAAGAGGAAGAAGAGAGACAGAGGAGAGGTGGGGAGGGGGACGAAGGGAAGGAGTGGGGGCAGGAGAAAAACAAGGGAAGTAAGGGATAAGAACTGTGAAAAGAGGGAAGAGGAAGAGGAACAGGAGAAAAAGTTATTCAAGTATTCAAGATAATCATGAAAAATAATTTAAGAAAAAGCAAAAAAAAAAAAAAGACATAAATGGCGACCTTTACAAATATAAAAGATTCTTTACGTTCAGATTCAATCACGAAACAATAACACCACTATCCTTGTAAAATAGCCCTACTTCAAGATCTCACCATCTTTCCACTACTCCTACAACTATCTCCACTCCACCACCACCCTGCTCATAACACCACCTCAAACCCTCTATTAACCTGTCATCCAACTATACACATCCGGAGACGAATCAACCCGCGCACGACCTCACACTATGCACTCGCTAACTGCAACTCTCCATGTCATCATTCATAAATATACTCAATCTCCTCACCACTCAAATCTACGCTCAGCATCCACGATCATATAAATCAACCACGCCCCCAATCTCACGAATACACCCACTCGACCCTTCCCTACCTCAACCATCAATCTACTACCGCCTCTCAACCATAGCACCATATCCACATGACAGGATCCAATATCAGACACCACCAATACAACTCCTACGCCTATCCACCTAATATACACGATGGCACAAAACCCCCCCCCACAATCACTCCAGTCCCGACACCCACAATTAACTACTAGTCTCAACATTATCTAATCCCTATATCATCCACCAACCAACTCATACCCCTCGATCAGTCACCACGCATCACGACACTCAATTGACTACCGATCTCGTCACCAACATTCTAATCCACCAGCCACCATATCAATCAATCAACCACTACATCACATCAACTCCTCACACACAATCACAACACATACAACTCCCCCTAGAACCATAATACACACCCCACTGAATGCATACTTCACACACACTGCGACACATAATACATACCATCCACCCACCACCATCACATCTCCATCCACTCACCACGCATAAATAGCCCCATCATCACATACTACGCCCAAACTCCCAGAATCCAATCTCCACGCATAATATATATACAAACAAACACGCACACACATACAAACCAACAAACATATGTACAAACAAGCAAACAAATATAAATATACAAACAAATAACATATATAAACAAACAAACAAATATATACATACAAACAAAACACACACACACCACACACACCACAATTATACATAATATATATATATTATATATTATATATATATATATATATATATATATATATAATATATATATATATATACACAAAACAAACCAACAAACATAATACAAAAAAAACAACATATACAAACACACAAAAAATATTATATATATATATATTATTAATATATATATTTATATATAATATATATAATATATATATATATATATATATTATATATATACATACACATACACACACATAAACAAAACACACACACACATACACAAACCAACCAACCCCACCTTATTGCCGTCCTCATGGCTCGACTCGTTGGCACTGCTGCAAGGAAGGGTGCCGCCGAGCATGACCAGCTTCCGGCACCATGACTGCGACTCCTGCAGGTACCGGAAGTAGTCCTCGGGGGCGTCGAGACGGTCGAGCGAGGGGCGCCACGAGCTCTGGGGAGAACTCGGTGGATCTCTTCTTCGGGAGGGGGGCTAGGTGGGTGGTGGTGGTGGTGTGGTGGTGGTGGGGGGGGGGTGGTGGGGGGGGGTTGGGGTGGTGGGGGTTGGGGTGGGGGTGGGGTGGTGGTGGGGGTGGGGGTGGTGGTGTGTAGTTGGTGGGTGGTGATGGTGAGAGGTGGTGGTGAGTGATGGTGGGAGGGTTGGGGTGAGTGATGGTGATTGGGGTGTGGTGGTGTGAGGGGGTTGGGGGTGGGGTGGGGTGGTGAGTGATGGTGGTGAGGGTTGGGGTTGGTGGTGGTGATGGTAGGTGGTGGGGGGGTGTGGGGTGGTGGTGAGGATGGTGAGTGGTGGTGAGTGGGTGGGGCTGTGGGTGGGATGGTGGTGTGGGATGG